TGTGTGCTGTTAATGTCTAACCATTGGTTTTAGTTGTGGCTTTCTCTGCTATATGAAAGAGAAATTGTTGGAAAGTTTCAATTTTGCAAGAGTGACTTAATTTTAAAGACTAGTGGTTTTCTCCAAATCCTGTAAAGTTTCACTTATAAATAACTTTAGATTTTAAAGCCCAGAATGCTGGTAGCCTTTTAAATGATTCTGTATATAGTGAAAACAACCACAGTGTTTTAGGTCTGTCTGCAGCCATTCTTCATGAGCGTCAAACTGCCAATGACATTTATATTAAAATCTGCAATTGGATTCTCAGCTGCTATAAAACCATAACTTAAGGCATGACTCCGCTTTCACTTACACTCATATCAGTTTTTGTAACTCTACCACTTACAGTAGACTCTCCAGACTTTCCTAGCACAGGAAAGTAGATGTGGAACACACCTGACATATCAGCTCAGTTGATTGTAGTTTCGGGGAGCTAAGGATGGAACGAACTGCTTGACCGCTTAGCCTAACATCCTGGTTATGGAAATTAATTCAGTTATTCTTGTATTGGGTCCAATAAATTGCACCAAACTTAAGTGTATCTTCCAAAAAAGAGTGCAGATTTCAAAACACAGGAATCCATCACTCCCCTTCATCATTCAGACAAGTGTTTAAGAAAGCTTACTTTTAAGTATGATTACCTCCTTTCTCCTCTGAATATGTCTACTTTCAACTTCTAGCCGTTATTCTTTTTGTCTTTCCCTGTTACATGAAAAAATCCTTATTATCTGGCATTTTCTTGCAGGGAGGACAACAATGCATTGCAAACAGGTTCCTTTTTGTTTTTCTTTCCAATAAGCTCTGTACACTCACTGGTCTATAATAAAGTGCTGTATGCAAATCCTTACCTTACAGAAGATGTGGAGTAAGATCCCTGCAGTGTGGATGGGCTTAGCCACCTCAGCATCACTGAAGGAACAGGTCTGTTTGTATTTTCCCAGTATCAGTGCTACTGGAGATGCTGTTGAGGACAGTTCCTGCTGCCTGCTACTGCTGGCTGCTCGTTTCCACCCCTAGAAAATCCTTCCCTTCCTATCACCCTGAACAACCAGTCTGTGCATCCACATAGTAAATGGTTTTTGTGTTTGCATTTATTTTTAAGCCAGATCAGTTCACTGGACCCATCACTAAGTACTACAAACTGTGCACTGGTCCAAGTGAAGGAGTAGATTGTGTGTGTATTTAGAAGGGGAATAAAGACATTTAAGGGTGATAGGGAAGGATAGGCAGAAAAAATGCACATGGAACCATCCCTTCTGGATAAAAGCAAGGGCTCAACAGTTGCTAGAGAAATGTTGATATGCCATGAAGTCATCCCTCTTTTGCTCTGTGGTAACCAGTTTATTTAGCCATAGTCTATGTAAAACACTCAGCAAAATCTGAATGTATTTTGTCTGACCTTTGTCAAACAAACTCATTGTCTCATCAGAAAATTAAGTGAGGTTTATTTGGTAAGATTATTCTCCTGCTGTTGATGGTCGTCTACCATTACGGACAAGAAGATAGTCAAGAAGTCCTTCTTCCCACTAACTGTGATTAGAAAAAAAAAATCCTGATTAGAAATCAGGATTGTTTGATAATGTAACCATGTTGATGTAACATAATATATAAACATAGATGTGATATACTTTCAACTAAATATACTTACATCTGTTTTTGATAGCACTATGTGGATTAGCATTAATCATATCCTCCTACTATAATTCTTTCCTGGTAGGCTAACCTAGCTTCAGTGACCTACGTTATCCTGCTTGTCCTAAAAGCATGATCGCACAACATTAGCTATGGCTGAGAAGGAAGTAGCTGCGGACATGAGAGACTCACTACTCCCATTATGTCATTTTCTAAAATAAAGTTTTGATGTGATTTAAGTGCTGCTATTACTGCCCCTGTAATATAAGGACACACAGATCTGTGCCTCACCAGACTCTCTCTTGATCCCTGTTCAAACCTAAAGGAGACAGGATCAAGCCAATGAGATGCTTGCTATATATTTCCAGAGTAATATATAGGCATCAGTCAAGGAGGTGTGCAGTCCTCAAATTTAAACCATTAAAAATGGAATATAGAACAAAGAAATAACAGGTCAAAAGAAATGTGGTTATGAAATTCCCCCCCCCCCCCCAAAAAAAAAAGTAGCTGCGGACATGAGAGACTCACTACTCCCATTATGTCATTTTCTAAAATAAAGTTTTGATGTGATTTAAGTGCTGCTATTACTGCCCCTGTAATATAAGGACACACAGATCTGTGCCTCACCAGACTCTCTCTTGATCCCTGTTCAAACCTAAAGGAGACAGGATCAAGCCAATGAGATGCTTGCTATATATTTCCAGAGTAATATATAGGCATCAGTCAAGGAGGTGTGCAGTCCTCAAATTTAAACCATTAAAAATGGAATATAGAACAAAGAAATAACAGGTCAAAAGAAATGTGGTTATGAAATTCCCCCCCCCCCCCCCAAAAAACTTCATTTTAGAAATGAAGACCTAAACCTTTAAGGCCCCTGTATAGGAGATATGTGTTCCTGAATCAAGACAAGGTGAGTAAGTACCCAGAGCGAAGCCAAGTGAAGCTCACAGCAACAGCTCTCTGAAGGACAGCTTTGTGGGGTAACTATGTTCAAGCATGGACTTGGGCCACGGATGTTATGCTCTAGTCCTCTCTTGATTCTTTTAGAAATGAAGACCTAAACCTTTAAGGCCCCTGTATAGGAGATATGTGTTCCTGAATCAAGACAAGGTGAGTAAGTACCCAGAGCGAAGCCAAGTGAAGCTCACAGCAACAGCTCTCTGAAGGACAGCTTTGTGGGGTAACTATGTTCAAGCATGGACTTGGGCCACGGATGTTATGCTCTAGTCCTCTCTTGATTCTGGCAGCACCAGAGAGAAAGCTTGATGTTACGAAATTGTGCTTTAACACTTACACAGATGTCGAGGACTTGGTTGCAACACCATGAACATGTGTGATGTTGGCAGAGCTTGACGGTAGCTCTTTACCTGGCTAAATGATAAATGTTAATCATGTTATAAGCCTGGCTTACTGAAGACTTTTCTACCCTAGATATTTCTGGGTGGTAGCAAGGGATTATGTGGACAGGGGTTTGGGTAGCCGTCTTGGTATCCTCCTGCCTTCTGACTGTGCTTGGAGCAGACAACACAAGCTTCCCCTTGTCAGATGAGATACTTTGATCATTTCGGGGTAGACGGACCACAGGAACAATGGTACCTAGAGGGGAAAACCTGAAAGCACACTCTGCTACACTTGATGCTTGCTAAGCCATGCTGTACTTTCAAGGACACTTTACACCATCATAAACCAAACTGCTGCCAAAAGCAGCTGTCCCACCTCCTCCCTGCCCGAGTTATTTGTTCTTGCTTTTTTGCTTCTTTCTCTCCTCAAATGACTATTTTTCAGCTAAGTTAGTGGAGACCT